AACAAGATTGAGAGCCCTGAAATGGTGGGCTGGTGGAAACAGCCCTGACCTTGGGATCAGAAGACCTGGGTTAGTCTGAGCTTTGCTGTGAGTCTTGCTGTAGCAGACACTGTTTTCTGGCTAACTCAGCAAATGCTTGCTTTCCCAGGGTGGCCTTGCAGCTGGGGTAGCCACATGACAAGCTCTGGCCAATGGAATGTGAGCAGAAATCTGATGAGAGATCTGGGAAAAGTTTTGGCTTTATCTGTTAAACAGGAGAGAGACATGGCTAACACTGTCCTTCCCTTCTCTTTCTGTTTTGAATGCAAACATGATGGCTGGAGTGAGGGCAGTCCACTCGGGGACCATGAAGCAATAAATCTGAGAGGAAGGTTAGGACAATAGTAGAGACCCAAAAATGATATCTGCACTCAACTTATTAACTGGTGCCTTTGGGTAATGAAGTAACTGAGCTTTAGTTCTTTATGCTATAATATGTGGTTGATCTCATTCTCCTTCCTTTCAGGGTAGGTGTGAGGACTAAATTAGACAAGAAAGGCAAACATTCTGGCAGTGTACTTGGCAAACAGAAACTGCCTGATAAATGCTAATGTAAAATACAAAGGCCTTCTGGAAGGTACTCAGCATGAGCTGTGCCTGCACAGGCCTCACCTGGTTGCGGGGCGCTGTACAGATCTTCCTGCAGGAAGGGCATGGAGCTGATCAGAGTGGGGGCACTGGCGGGGTACACAAACTCCGTGGCTGAGAAATCTCCAGAGGAGCTGCTGAGGATGAACAGGCGGGGAGCGAAGTTAAAGCTGCCAGGATCTTTGAAAGAAAAAAGAACAAAGCACCGTGTGTACACCAAAGTAAACTCCAGATAGGTTCAAGAATTAAAGCAAAACATGACATAATTCAAGGAATTAGTGGAAACATAGGTAGGATTCATCTGAGCTTGGAGACAGAGAAGGCCTTTCTTTTCTTTTTTGTGTGCTAGAGATCAAAGCCAGGGCTTTGCACATGCTAGGCAAGTACTCAATCATGGAGCTACACTCCCCACTCCAGGAAAAATCTGTTTAACTGCAAAAATAGAAGAAGTAATCCCAGGGGAAAATATTTATACATGAATTATATAAAAATTAAAAAATTATTGTATAAAAATTTTAATAATGAAATAGCACCTAGAAAAATGGAAAATATTTATAATAGAGCAACTAGTTAGTATCCTTAATATATGAAGGTACATAAATAAAGAAAAGTTAAGCCAGGCACAGTGTGGTAGGTGTCTGTAATTCTAGCTACTTGGGTGATTGAGGCAGGAGGATCCCAAGTTCAAGGGCAGCCTCAGAAATCTAGCAAGACCCTCAGCAACTTAGTGAGACCCTGTCTCAAATTTAAAAAAAATATAAAGGACTGGGTATATAGTTCAGTGGTAAAGAGCTCCTGGGTTCAATTCTCAGTACCCAATAAAAAATTTAAAAAAAGGAAAAAATAAATAGCACAATAAAAAGTACAAGAGGCATAAATAAACAGTTGCCAAAGTAGAAATACAAATGGCTAAAAATGTGCATTGGTAAAGGGCACTTTGTTGCAAAGCAGATTCTGGCAATTCAAGGGAGTTTTCTGGAAAAGATTACCAGTTACTCAGAACTAAGTGAGCTCCTGTAAGTTGAAGTTGCTCTTGCAAACTGGGAAAGGCAATGGGAATAAACCATTGTCTGTCAGGTATTTTGTCACAGCAATGGAAAACTGACTAAGGAAGCCTTGATTCTATAGCAGCAAGAAGTAATACGGGGTATGGTAGGGTAGCCCACGCTAGGAGAATGAGTGTCCTCAAAGGTGCTACTTCCCCACTCCACCCATGGGTCATTACAGTTATTCTGACCATGGAATCAGACAGGGAAGCATCTCCCCATCCCAATAACTGGCACCCTGATTCCTGATTCCCACGATTGGAATGCCCAGCGGTACCTCCCTGAGGCTGTTAAGATAATTATGCAGATGCACTACCTGGTTTCCATAGTAACGTCCTTGGATGTGAGAGGCTCTGTGTTTGTATTAAGCTGGACCTTATCTCTGTTAGCTAGCACTCAGGGTTAAAGAAATATGGGTTAGAGTGTAGTCAGGTGTGATGGGTAATATGTAACCTTTTTTAAGTTAATAAACTTGGCAGGAGGGAGGAGTGGGTACTTCATTCTACACTTCTCTTTCTTTGCTTCTTCACTTCACTCCTCTCTGCTCCACCTCCTTATATCCTCTGTCTGTGTCTGTTCTTTTGTGCACCTCCTCACAGGCTTTCTCCCCAGGTGGTCCTTTATAGGTCATCAACATTTGTCACCTCTCACTAACAATGGGCATTTTCACAGGCTCAATTCATAACATTCATCATAAAGTTGGACACAAAGAAGATGTTCTATAAGCAACAAAGATGTCATCTTCTTCCTAAGGTGAATTTCCCTTGTCCCCTTAATTCCTGCCACTCATGAACTTTCCTCCTTTAATCATCCATTTCAACATCCATGTCTACATTTCAACCCCTCGGGTGGATTCTTTTACTCCATCCTGAAATGGTACCAAGGACAGGTAACAAATTAGGTCATCTAGTGCCTAAAAATCATCCTTTTGATTCTGATATCCCTCCTATTACATGTTGAACATCCCTAATCTGAAATGCTCCAAAATCTAAAACTTTTTGAGTGCTGACATGATGCTACATGCAGAAAATTCACACCTGATTTCATGTGATGAGCTGTGGTAAAAACACAAGCGCCCCCAAAATATCCTATGAAATTACCTTCAGGCTGTGTGTTCGAAGGACATGCGAAACAAAAATGAATTTTGCATTTCAACTCGGGTCCCACTTCCATGACATGTATGGGCAAATATTTCAAAATCTGAAAAAAAATCCAAACTCCAAAACACTTCTAGACCCAAGCATTTGGGATAAGGGATGCTCAATTCATACGGTTTTTCCTTCCTTTTATTATTCAATGTTTCCAACTTCACACTGGCTTCTCCTACCTCTGGAAGGGACTCAGCATGCGCTGTGCCTGCACAGGCCTCACCTGATTGTGGGACACTGTACAGATCTTCCTGCAGGAAGAGCATGGAGCTGATCAGAGTGGGGGGCACTCCAGCCACTGCTCTCTGTTGGGCTGATGTGGCATTGGTTGGTAAAAAAAAAAAACCTCTGATGAGCAATTTATCATCAATCTAACAAGGAAATGTTGGAAAGAAATTTCCTGATCCCTGAACTCTGTGCCATCAGCAGTGGTGACTGTCCCCTCTTTGATGACATGTTCTCTTGATGTCTGTGACATTCTTCTGACCTCACTTCTCCTGTGTTCCATCTTTGTCCTTTAAATGATGGGTTTTAGCTGAAGGGCTTTAATATAAAAACCTTGACCAACACAGTCCACATTGTCTTACGATGCCCTTTTCTAAGGACTGTGTCCCTTACTTTCTCACAGGGATCTACCAGTGCCTCAAGTCAAGAGCTACTGCATGAAGCACAAGGTCCCATAACTGCTTCCTTGGTCATATCCTCTATGACTCTTTCACAAGTTCTCAGGTGGTTGGCAATTTTCACATGACCGCTTATTTATTAAACATCTACTAAGTATGCATTATTCATTAAGTGTCTATTAAATATGATTGACACTGCCCTCCAAACCTTCCCTTCCTCCTGTGACTTCTGTGAATGGCAGAGCCCTGTGGGTGGCTCAGGATTTCTGGTCCCTTGTTCAAGTTCAGGATCCTTCCTGATCTGGTTCAGACGTACTCCTTCACGGAACTCCCACCTCTTCCCTGCATCCTGGCTGCCAGCCAAACCAAGCATCATCTTGTTCTACTGGTTTACATCATGTTCTTGCTCATATGCTTTCCTGGAATTTTCTTTTCTTCTTCACCAAACTCTAAGGCACTGTGCAAATCCCATCTCTTTTCCAGGGAGCTGTGTGTGATTTTTCTTGATAGAAGAAATTCTTTTTCTTTTCCATGTTCAGTCTCCTTCACATGTACCTCTTTCATGAAACATAACAATTTCCATTTTGTAGGCCCCAGGTCGGGGGCGGGGGAGGACATCCCTTAAGCCGGTTCATTGTGTTAAATACAGCCCATTTTTCACACATGTTTATTGAATAAATAAGTGAGTGAATCTTAACAAGTGATGGAAGTTTGTGGCGATGCTTTACCTTGAAGCATGCAGTCGTAGGCTTTCCTATCTCTCCTTCCTAAAGCGTCCCAGAATCCCAGTGGCTCAGATCCTTCGTCACATTCATGTATTGTCACATTGCTGCTACTGTGCAATCCTGCCTCCAGGGGACATCTGCTCAGAAGAAACGTCAATATTATAAGTCCAGAAAGTGTTGACAGCACAAAATTATTCAAGACTAAATCTACAGATCAGCTCACTATCTTTTACTTTCGAATTAAAAGCAATTTTTACTAATGAATGAAAAAACATTCTGTGGTTTATGAGTATGTTTGTGTTAGAAAAGGAAGGGTCAGCCGGTTCCTGGGGAGGAATGTATAATTATATATAATATGCGATGAAAATAATATACATTTTTATAAATAACACAACTTTTTTTTTTCCCACTATTTCTTGTCCTCTTCTGCTAGAACATAAACTTCAACAGGAGAAAGACAGGTGCACTGACTGCCAAGTCACCAGTCCCTAAATCTGTGCTTGGTATCATGCAGATGCTCAATAAATATTGTTGAATGAATAAATATATGAGTTCTTCACTACTTTGTTTTTGTTTTTTCCTTAGTAGTTCAAGTGGAAAACTTGATGAGGCACAAATGTCCCTGGATACCTCACTGAGTATCATTTACCATCCCTCCGTGCTCCACAGCCAAGAGTGATGTTCTGAGATTCTGCTTCTCTCTCTCTGCCTGATGGAAGGCCACACCCTCCTTTCTCCTCTCTGCCCTCTCCATGCAATACTAAGTTTTATAGCAGCCGCTGTTTTGGTGCCCAGAGTATGAGCTAAACCAAACTGTACTCTGATGGCCTAAGAATCTTCCTCTCTACTTGCTTTTTAAATATCAAAGGATTCCAGGCTTATAATTCACCAGCTTGCTAGGTCATTTTCCTTGCTCTTCTCAAGGTTATATTCCTCCCTCTCTCCCTCCCTCCCTTCTTTTTTTGGAGACAGGGTCTGGTTATGTTGCCCAGGCTGGCCTTGAACTACCAACTCTAGTGATCCTCCTGCCTCAGCCTCCCAAGTAGGTAGCTGTGACTCCTCCTGGCTCAATGTTACCTTGTATTGAGGAAGGTAAATACTCAGAAAGTGGGGGCAGCCATCAGATTGAAGTCTTGGTTGTCATGTATATTTTATCTACCTACTTGGGATGTCTGAGGTCCTTAATGATGTTCATAACCATCCCTTGCTGAAGTTGCTCTAAGGACACTGGGCATCTATGGGATGTCTTGGGAACCCTCTGCAGCTTAGCCTGCCTGTGTCCCCCAGGAAGCCCCTTTTGTGGAGAGCTCCACACACACACAACACTCACTGTTCTTTGATTTTATTTGCTGCAGTCCTTCCAACCTCCTTCGTGTGGGCTTGCGCTTTGCACCCGTGCCACAGGTAGATGAGGGCCTTATTTACGTTGAGAACAACCATGGAAGTCCTGGACCTCAGGCTGCTACAGTGACAGGCCACTTCCAGCAAATTCCCTTCCATGGGAACTTCTCCACGCACACAGTACAGTCTCCACTCACCTGTAGGGGGCGTCAGCAGCACAGAGTTATGACTGAGCTTGGGACAGGGAAAACTGCCCTTTCTGTTCCCAGCTGTGCAATCAAAGGCAGCTACTACATTGCAGGGACTTAAGGGACTGGTGAGACTGAGGCCCCTGCAGCCTGAAGTCATGCTGAGCAATGACAGCATGTGGTCTTCCCAGAAAACAAATACTTTTGGAATTAGAAGCAGGTTGCTAAAAGTCCATAATGCAGAAAAACCTTTTCCAAAATGTAAAAATAAGCCATAAGGCTGTAAAACTAACATTCTCTTTCCCTTTCTCTCTCTCTCTCTCCTAACAAAAAGATTCTAATTTTTAATAGAAGATCTACTAATTTTTAAAATTCTCCTAAATCCACAGCAGACAAGAGCCACCATGAGAACTCAGTTCAAGGTGAAATAAACTCCAGCCTCCTGCGGACAAAGGTGGATCCCAGAAGAACTTCCATGGGGTGATAGGGGGGTTTATGAACTCCCCATAAAGCTGATTTATCAGGCAAAAATTAGGAGACTTTAATGGTAAAGCCACAGCTATATGAAGACAGACTAACTTTATTTAGATCCCCTTGCCTATAAAAATACCTTCTGGGAGAAGGAAAAAAAAATTAAATTCCAGTAGTAAAAGTGACTTACTTTGTGCATTTTCTTCTTCCTCTTCCCGTCTCCCTGAGTGCACCACCATCCCCCCCTGGAAACACTGTAGAAAACAGGGGGGCTCCTTTCCCTGCAGAACCTGGACCTTCAAATTGAAACACAAATAAAACAGATAACAATGGTGGGACTTTCAAAGTCACAAACACAGTACCTGCCTATGGTGGAAAATCTGAAAAACAAAGACATACACACAAAAGTCAGTGATACTTCTGTCATCTGAAGATGAGCACTATTAAAATTCCTTTCAAGTGTTTTTCAGTTTTGTATTTTCTCCTAAACAAAGTAGGAGTGATATTTCATGTTGCCTTATAACCTCATTTTCATCCCTAGTTTTCTAACACTGAATATTCTTTTGAAACATGAATTTTGATGCTTTTATCAGTGGTATGGATACAACATTATATAACACAATTAAACACATTTTAAAGAAAGTACATTTCTCAGCAATAACAATGACTAATCATGACTTAGTAATTCTGGGGAGAAAAATGTATTCTTTGCAAATACATCTGCTACACTTTGGATCTTAACTATTCTCCAAAGGGCCATGTGTGGAGGACTTGATCCTCAGGCTGGTGCTGTTGGGAGGTG